AGCGGCGTTAAACCCAGCTCACTCACACACACATCAAGCCGACACGCCGTGGTATAACTGGAATACTGTTTAAGCGGCGTTAAACCCAACTCACTCACACACACATCAAGCCGACACGCCGTGGTATAACTGGAATACTGTTTAAGCGGCGTTAAACCCAGCTCACTCACACACACATCAAGCCGACACGCCGTGGTATAACTGGAATACTGTTTAAGCGGCGTTAAACCCAGCTCACTCACACACACATCAAGCCGACACGCCGTGGTATAACTGGAATACTGTTTAAGCGGCGTTAAACCCAGCTCACTCACACACACATCAAGCCGACACGCCGTGGTATAACTGGAATACTGTTTAAGCGGCGTTAAACCCAACTCACTCACGCACACATCAAGCCGACACGCCGTGGTATAACTGGAATACTGTTTAAGCGGCGTTAAACCCAGCTCAATCATGCACACATCAAGCCGACACGCCGTGGTATAACTGGAATACTGTTTAAGCGGCGTTAAACCCAGCTCACTCACACACACATCAAGCCGACACGCCGTGGTATAACTGGAATACTGTTTAAGCGGCGTTAAACCCAGCTCAATCACACACACATCAAGCCGACACGCCGTGGTATAACTGGAATACTGTTTAAGCGGCGTTAAACCCAGCTCACTCACGCACACATCAAGCCGACACGCCGTGGTATAACTGGAATACTGTTTAAGCGGCGTTAAACCCAGCTCACTCACACACACATCAAGCCGACACGCCGTGGTATAACTGGAATACTGTTTAAGCGGCGTTAAACCCAGCTCACTCACACACACATCAAGCCGACACGCCGTGGTATAACTGGAATACTGTTTAAGCGGCGTTAAACCCAACTCACTCACGCACACATCAAGCCGACACGCCGTGGTATAACTGGAATACTGTTTAAGCGGCGTTAAACCCAGCTCAATCATGCACACATCAAGCCGACACGCCGTGGTATAACTGGAATACTGTTTAAGCGGCGTTAAACCCAGCTCACTCACACACACATCAAGCCGACACGCCGTGGTATAACTGGAATACTGTTTAAGCGGCGTTAAACCCAGCTCAATCACGCACACATCAAGCCGACACGCCGTGGTATAACTGGAATACTGTTTAAGCGGCGTTAAACCCAGCTCACTCACGCACACATCAAGCCGACACGCCGTGGTATAACTGGAATACTGTTTAAGCGGCGTTAAACCCAGCTCACTCACACACACATCAAGCCGACACGCCGTGGTATAACTGGAATACTGTTTAAGCGGCGTTAAACCCAGCTCACTCACGCACACATCAAGCCGACACGCCGTGGTATAACTGGAATACTGTTTAAGCGGCGTTAAACCCAGCTCAATCACGCACACATCAAGCCGACACGCCGTGGTATAACTGGAATACTGTTTAAGCGGCGTTAAACCCAGCTCACTCACGCACACATCAAGCCGACACGCCGTGGTATAACTGGAATACTGTTTAAGCGGCGTTAAACCCAGCTCACTCACGCACACATCAAGCCGACACGCCGTTGTATAACTGGAATACTGTTTAAGCGGCGTTAAACCCAGCTCAATCATGCACACATCAAGCCGACACGCCGTGGTATAACTGGAATACTGTTTAAGCGGCGTTAAACCCAGCTCAATCACGCACACATCAAGCCGACACGCCGTTGTATAACTGGAATACTGTTTAAGCGGCGTTAAACCCAACTCAATCACACACACATCAAGCCGACACGCCGTTGTATAACTGGAATACTGTTTAAGCGGCGTTAAACCCAACTCAATCACGCACACATCAAGCCGACACGCCGTTGTATAACTGGAATACTGTTTAAGCGGCGTTAAACCCAGCTCACTCACGCACACATCAAGCCGACACGCCGTGGTATAACTGGAATACTGTTTAAGCGGCGTTAAACCCAGCTCACTCACGCACACATCAAGCCGACACGCCGTTGTATAACTGGAATACTGTTTAAGCGGCGTTAAACCCAGCTCAATCATGCACACATCAAGCCGACACGCCGTGGTATAACTGGAATACTGTTTAAGCGGCGTTAAACCCAGCTCAATCACGCACACATCAAGCCGACACGCCGTTGTATAACTGGAATACTGTTTAAGCGGCGTTAAACCCAGCTCACTCACACACACATCAAGCCGACACGCCGTGGTATAACTGGAATACTGTTTAAGCGGCGTTAAACCCAGCTCACTCACACACACATCAAGCCGACACGCCGTGGTATAACTGGAATACTGTTTAAGCGGCGTTAAACCCAACTCACTCACGCACACATCAAGCCGACACGCCGTGGTATAACTGGAATACTGTTTAAGCGGCGTTAAACCCAGCTCACTCACGCACACATCAAGCCGACACGCCGTGGTATAACTGGAATACTGTTTAAGCGGCGTTAAACCCAACTCACTCACGCACACATCAAGCCGACACGCCGTGGTATAACTGGAATACTGTTTAAGCGGCGTTAAACCCAACTCCTACGACAGTAGGACCCGCAAACGCTGTGGGATGTTCGTAATAGTATTGCAATTATCGCTATGGTGTTTAACGTTAACACATCACGATGACCCGTCATTATTACTCACGTGGAAGGGTTCTATTTATATTTGTGAAGAGAAGGATATTTACCTGTAAGTGATTGTTTCTTGGGTCAAAAATAAGTACACGTGGCTTTTATTATTTTTATTATCATTATTTTATTATTTGATCTTGCAAAATGAGGAATCTCAATCTCCATGTGGTGGTTACTACAATGTAGAAATTCGTTTTGTTTTTAATGCATCTTATGAACTGTTTCAGGGGAATAATTACGGTGATCGATTTGACACCATAACTGTTTCAGGGGAAAAAGGCAAATATCTCTCACATTCGAGGTAGATGCTTCTTATTATAAAATCAATAGTTAGAAACCATGGATGGATAGTTTCTCCATCTGTGTGTCAACTCTAATAGTGAAACTAGTCCCTTCGGGGCTCACAAACAACCAAACAACATGACTGTCAGGAAAAACGAAGTAGATGCTTGCATATTCACACTTCACTCTGCTTATACCTGTGTGCTGTGAAATTGCGACCCCCGCGTTCCTTGAGTTGTAAGATACTCATTGACTTGATCATGTGACATCGCCTGTGATACCCGTATGAAACATCACCATACCTTGCTGTATCATTTTCAGGCACCATCAAACATAGGTGTGTACTTTGGCCGGCAGCTGGGAATGACGTCATGAAATTTCATGTACACATTGTTGTACAAATATCCAAGTTTGGGCACCAAAAGGTTTTCACCCCTGGGTCAACATCAGACACAAAGTATGGATTCAAAAGAAACGTTTATTATAACATGTTGCCAGATAAACGAGCTAACGAAGTACGATACGATGGGCACGTGTCATATTGGAATACAAACTGTTGCGGAGTACATACATAAGTGTTGAAATCATGTCTAATAATAATAGTAACAATACTGACGACGTCAAGGCGTGTCATTATCGACGTTATGTTGAGTTCATCTGTACGGTGTTCAAAATATGTATTCACTGCGATTCTTCATAAGTTGATAAGGAAAACTATTATTCCATCCAGCATGATGCTGGTTTTATTAAAGGACTGTTAAAATACATAATATTATACAGACTCACAACACTCGTTTCGTAACATGAACTTCCTAATATTAGACCAGGAGGGTGAGGGTAAGTCTGTCCTTATATGAGTGCTCACACCAAGCAGTGCAGATCCAACTCTCTGGTGGTGTCATCCTGTTGGTTTGCGGCGCCTTGTTCTGGTGGAATACCCTCTTTACAATACGACTTTCTACAGATTATTACCCAGGAACAGTTAATGGTACGTCCCCGGGTATTCCATATATAGGGACTTCAGAAGTGGGTTTCATATGATTTAGCATACCCTTAGTGACAGACATATTTTGCTATTGAACACAGTCTACATAACACACATTACAATGTTAACTTACGAAAATGTGCGGAATGATGTCAATTAAAAGTAAACGTTACTTACATACATAGAAACTATGTACTTGTAGTCCAGTGAGTGAACCACAGGTTTACATAGACGCTGATAAATCATAACGATGTTGAGGATCTCTTTTTGAAGATTCTGTATAGCGGCAAGAAATATTTTACGTCCGTTTCCTAAGGTAAACGGCAAGTGTATTGGAAACAAACAAATGTTGCAAAGATTTTTATTTCGGTTTAAAAGTTGCTTGTATTCTCAACGAAACACTCGCAGTCGAGTTCATTGCTTCACTGAGAACCAGAGAGAGAGAGAGGGAGAGAGAGAGAGGGAGAGAGAGAGAGAGAGAGAGAGAGAGAGAGAGAGAGAGAGAGAGAGTACCATAGTAGTACCAAACAGTGTGAGGGCACGTCTGACCTTGAGGATGCCAACCCAGCCCTACTTTGATTCCTTGAAATACCCCCTAATTTGTCACTCATTGCTCATCCCTGAATCCTGAATTCTGCTAAACACAAATCGCATAGGTATTGAGAACAGGGTGCGACTTGCAGTTAAATTACTGAAGAAGATTCAATGTATAATGTCATTATTTACGCCCAACATTATTATTTAATCTGGGAACTAAATTCGATTGTATTTGCGTCCTGCGTATCACACTGCTGAGTCCCTCTAAATAACCCCGGAACCCCGCGTACCAAAAGGGGGCTGTCATCCTCAACCTAAGATGATGGAAAACCCCGGGTGTTAGGGGACATCTGACTTTAGAGTGAGTAAGTTGGGTTTAACGTCGCTTTGAACAATATTCCAGTTTTATCACGGCGTGTCAGCTTGATGTCCAAGAAAAGCCTGAAGTGATGCAGGTCTCAGACGTTTACCTTTTTGATGTAACACACGAGAACGGGTATGGTGCTGACAAACCTTGAAACCGGGGCGAACCGGGATTCGAACCCACAATCATAGGTTTCTGGCGAGCCCACGTGACGCCACTCTGCACACACGTGGCCCCTCTAACTTTTCGAACCAGAGAAACTCTGGTCTAACCGCCAACAAAGCTGCATGTACACAGGGAATAAGGCAGCTTCTACATCTAGATAGGAATATAGTCATCTACAGATGGAAAAGTCTGACCACGATAACACACATGTGTTTTCTGTTCAAATGTAAATCCGGTGCAGCCAACTGTTCCATAACATAGAGTTGCGCAGTAGATGCTTGTGGGGACATTCACTGGGGGCAAATCTTCCACAGGACTTCCGGGATAACGGGTCGACTTGATGTAGTAGTCACCTGAAACAGTCACATTTAAACCAATAACCTTTACACTGAAACACCTAATACGATTCATTTAAATATGCTTCGCTTAAAAGATCAAAATACCCACAGTTCTTTATCCTGAGATGAAATATATGTTTTGAGTAATGTCATTATGGGCTGACGTCATGATGCTGTTCAAGATACCTCCCACATGATCTAACATATTCCTTGAAACACTGTTTTCGATAAAGCGATCCCAGGAGACGAGAAAGCGATAACACGAGACGAGAAAGCGATAGAACGATACGAGAAAGCGATAGAGCGAGAAAGCGACAGAACGATACAAAAAGGCGCCAGAACGATACGAGAAAGCGAAAGAGTGATAGAGCAGAAAAAACGATAGAGCGAAAAAGCGATAGAGTAATAGAGCGAGAAAGCGATAGAGTAATAGAGCAAGAAAGCGATAGAGTGATAGAGCAAGAAAGCGATAGAGTGATAGAGCAAGAAAGCGATAGAGTGATAGAGCGAGAAAGTGATAGAGCGGGAAAGCGATAGAGTAATAGAGCAAGAAAGCGATAGAGTAATAGAGCAGGAAAGCGATAGAGTAATAGAGCAGGAAAGCGATAGAGTAATAGAGCGGGAAAGCGATAGAGTAATAGAGCAGGAAAGCGATAGAGTAATAGAGCGGGAAAGCGATAGAGTAATAGAGCGGGAAAGCGATAGAGTAATAGAGCAAGAAAGCGATAGAGTGATAGAGCGGGAAAGCGATAGAGTAATAGAGCAGGAAAGCGATAGAGTGATAGAGCGGGAAAGTGATAGAGCAGGAAAGTGATAGGGCGAGTAAGTGATATTTCCCATAATGCCGTACATTAAACAGGTTTAACTGATCAATATTCAGTGATCCATTCCTATAATTCCCACCGCTATTTTGTCTTTTATGCCAAGAATTATTCAATCGTCACGCCGAAGACCCAGGTTCGATTCCCCACCTGGGTGCAATGTGAGCAGCCCAGGCATGGTGTCCCCCCTTAGTGATATTGCTGGAACATTGTCAAAAGCGGTGTAAAACCATATTCACTCACTCATAGCGGTGTTAATCAAATTACGATATGCAAATACATATGAAAATGTGAAGAAAATTATTTTTATTTAGTAACACACCAACACAGGCCGAGTTTTGTGTGTAGGTAGTTGTCCCTGCATCTGCCGTCACCCCAGTAGCTGTGTCCGCCCACAGGCAGTTGGTGCCGTTGTAGCTGACACCGTAGCACTTCCTGGACATACGACACAGCTCTGAACACTCCTCGGCGTGTGCGGGTCCTTCTAGCTCCCTTGTGGAGATCAGTCGACTGCTGGCTATCTCGATCATGCACTTCTTGGCTGTTGAAGGTAGTTTATACACATGAGCATTAATAAAGCACCAGCTACTTTTTCGGATATATTCTACATTAAAAAAAGGCAAGTGTGTTTCATTTTTGGAAACCCGACAAAAGAGTAATAAACTGACAAACAACGCCTGACACTACCATCACACAAATACACGGGCAGTAGGTACCGTTCAATTTTACAAGGCTGAAATGTATCGGGACTCACCCCACACTACGAATCGGGCTTTCACATTATGCAGTGAAAACCTGGGAATCACCTCACGGAGGACATTTGCAAGGGTCTCCCCCAGTCTGATTAAAAACAGATCTAGGTTCTCGCTGCCGCTGAACAAAGATGTGAGGACATCCCACTACGGGTCACGTCAGAACAACCTTTTCGCGCACTTTGACCGACCACTGAAACGACAAACAAGAAGTCGACATCAGCCAGCTTTCTCTAGCTTTACTGCACTCGTTTCAACCTGGCGACTTCCATTTCAGACTACGCTTGAAAAATGTGTTGACACAGTCCTCTATTAAAAAATTAAAAACTAAACAAACGAACATTCCGGAATGTATAATATATGATTGCGATTGTATGGCAGTGCTTCCTACGTACTGTATAACGCCTCCTCCGTTCAAATTTTATCCCCTCAGAAGCAAGAGATAGACGATAATTTTGACGAAACTGTCGTTCGGAATACCCCGTGTAAACGTTTTCGAGGTTGCATGATTAGAAAACACATTCCGATGTCACTTTCATGATCTGGTAAGCGACGCTTTGATTGGTCGGATGAAAGGTGGTTCTGACGTGACCCGTAATGGGATGTCCTCAGATCTTTGTATAGCGGTGATGAGAACTAAGATCCGATTTTAATGAGATTGGGGACTCCCCATGCTGCTTATCAGACCTCTGATTTTCAACATTGGGATTCCCTACCATTCCTCGTGTAGTGCCTGAGTCAGTTCATTCAGGTTTGAACTGGAGGGTCTCTTGTTCCTAGGTTTAAAGTCGAATCGCCTTACCCTGTACTGGTGATATGACCTCAACAGAGATGTAAGATCAACATATACTGAGTCAAATTACAAACTTCACATTTTTAAAAGTAATCCCATATATGATATACAACGGACAAATGTATCAGAGAAGGTAATTTTTAATCATTAATGTCCAAAGAAGAAGGATTTTAATTAACGGTGGTAACCATAATTTGTTTCAAGCACCTACGGTATTCGGTAATAACATCAACATTTTAAATCATAAGTCCCAAGCACGAGAATCTGATGGCACACAAGTTCAGTAGCGTGTATGGCCGCCATGTGCGTTGACAACTGCCACAAAACGCCTCCGCATGGACCTTGTGATGCTTGTGAACACATGATTGGTAAGACGACGCCATTGTTGCTGCCAAATGGTGCCAAGATCTTGCAAATTCTGTGGTTGGTTCTGGAGAGTGCGCAGACTTCTGCCAAGAGCATCCCAGACGTGTTCGATGGGATTGAGGTCGGGAGGCCTTGACGGCCAGTCTATGACGTTGACTTCCGCATTCTGAAGGAAATTCCTTGTCAAAATTGCTGTGTGGGGTCTGGCATTGTCGTGTTGGAAGATCAAACCGGGTCCATGTGCTGCCTTAAAAGGCAGAAGTTCTGCTGCCAGTACCTGGTCGCGGTAAGCAGCAGCGTTGAGGTTGCCACGGATGACAAGAAGCCAGGAACGTGCATTGCCACAGAAAGCACCCCACACCATGACGCTTCCGCCTCGAAATCTGTCAACTTCCTGTACACAACACTGGGCGTAACGTTCATGACGGCGCCTCCACACCCTCGCCCTACCATCAGCAAATCGAAGATTAAATCGGGATTCATCACTGAAGACGACTTGATTCCAATTCCTCTGAGTCCATCGTACGTGTCGCTGTGCCCACAATTGACGTTGACGTCTGTGTAATTGAGTCAGAATCGGCCCGCAGTATGGCCGTCGTGCTTGAAGGTGAGCAGTTCTCAGACGGTTTCGAACAGTTGGCGCACTCCGTCTACCCCTAAACAGTTCATTTCTGGTTGATGTAGCCGTCAAAAATCGGTTACGGAGGTGACGTAAGACAATCTGACGATCCTCTGCATGTGACGTCACACGTGGTCGACCTGGCCGAGGGCGATCAGCGTTGGTACCCGTTTGCTGTAGACGCGTCTGTAAATCATAAACAGTCCGTCGACTACAACCCATCGTCCTTGCGACTTCAGCTACGGACGTTACCGTCTGCAACATGCCGATGGCACATTCACGTTGCACATTTGAAAGGCGTGGCATGACAAATGGCCGTAAAGACTTTTGTTTTCTTGTGTTTTTCTTTTTTTGTTAATGACTGCTAACAAGTATGGCTGAAAACACGTGCGGTATTATGGCCACGTGACCAGTTGCACATGAAAAACCACTTTTGCCACTTTAGTGCTGTGCACATGATTTTGATCGATTCACCTGCACAAAAACGGGTGTTATCTGAAGACAATACGTGGCCATTACTGTTTAATACACAATAAGGGCCCACAATGATAACTGGTCAAAATGTTAAAATTTTAGGATTGTTAAGTTTTTAATTTGGTTCAGTATATATACAGTATACACCCGGTTGTCAAGCATCTATATGACAGTGAGAAGTATAATGGATTAACAAGTAATTCAGATGGTCCGGTTTCACCTATGTTTAGATATTATCAGACAAGAATTGTGTATTTATACCATTTCTACTACTCCCACTAGTACCACTACCACTACTAACACAACTACTATTGTCCTCACTACTACTACGTCTACTACTTCTGATGACCACCACTACTCCTACAACTACCATTAGTGAAAGGCTTTGCACTACCACCACCACCACCACTACTACTACGACTACTACTACTACTACTACTACTACCATTTGTGGAAGATGTTGCAGTATCACCACTACTACTATTATTTGTGAAAGACGTTTACAAAACGAATCTGCCCGTAGATAATATTTTGGGGCATTTTTTTCTTTGAGCAATTGTTAGAGCCGAATTTTAGGCATTTATAGTTCATTGAAAATCCTTTCAATTGGAACTTTGTTAGGGTTTGTATGTGTACATGGGTGCATGTGTTTAGTATAGTTATAAGATAAAACATAAGAAACAGCCAGCCCTTGCTGCCAGTGGCCGTTTCAGGCTATTTTCCCAGGGGTTGGTGACAGCAATAGTATAATGTTGCAGCTAAGACTTAAAAGTTAATTGTCTTGTGTGGAGTCTTAGAGGTCGTGCCCTAATCAACCGCGATAAGCATCCCACAAGAATTTCAGATATATAGTTGGATGAATGAGTGTGAGAAAGAGAGCAGAGATTTTTAAGATACGAAAGAAGTAAGACATGTTTCTAAGAGAGTGTAAGAAGATTGTGTTAAGGGAATAGAGGACATACGGTTTTTCAACCTGTCCGAGCCACTGTCCGAGCCACGGTACAAGTTACTATCCTGCATTTATCCTGCAACTGTGCTGTTCATTATATGACGGCTTATTCTTGGAATATGTGATATATTATTCAATCATTGTGTGGATATTCACTGAATTTATGGAATTATGTTATACAGAATTTGTGAAGTTTGAAATTAAAGACAATATTAAGGTGCTGGGTCGAGTTGAAATTTTGAAATCCTCTATCTCCATTAATTAGATAATTTAAGAGTTCACAGCAATGTTACAACCCTCAATATAGAAATTTCTCTGAATATACAAAAAACTACGTTAAGGGTTAATGTGACAGATAATATTTTTTTTACATTTAGGGTCATCACTATGAAATAATACTTATCGGACATTCATGAAACTTCGTAGATGATGACTGTTTTTAGATGTACCTGGTCGTTATTTTGTGTTGATGACTAATGACTAATCATTATTAGATTCTCTCTCTAAAACGACCGCTTGGTTTAAATACAGGTTTATAAAAGGGTTTATGACCCCTGATCCTTTTAACCATATTTCTATCAAACGTACTGTAGTATAAAGGCTATCTTACGATACTCTACAAGGTAACCTCATTTCCTAATACCAAAGCACGGAAAGGAGGACTCTGGCTGATTGAAATGTAGTTATTATCCGTTCAATATGTATATGTGTTATGGAAACCCTACCGAAATGCCAACACCCATGATCCTATAACTGCTTATAGCGACATTTCGGTGGTAATCAACCACACCTAGTTTCATAAAGAGCACTTATAAGTATGGAAAAATAGTCTTAAATAGGGTTAATTATCCAAATTTTGACCAACCAGAGATACTCCGTTCCGTTATTGTAATATGTGTTTTTGTGCAAAAATATATCTTAATACAATACATCGAAAATCTGAATTTCGAACAATCAGATGCCTATGTTACATTGCAATGGTAAGAAAACCTTTTCGGTTGAGTCCTGAAATATAATGTACCTAAATACCAAAGTTGAACGAAATTTCTTAATATCGACCAACCGGCTCTTCCGTTGCCATGGGGGAATGGTAGAAACGTTAATAATATAATATTGTGAAGTATCCCTAGAAACACCAAGATTTAACAAGATCGGCTAAATGACATGTTAGAAATGACCACTTAAAGAAAACCTGTAAATAACGACCAGGTTGTCGTTGTTGAGAAGTTGTTGGAATATGAAAGGTGCAGTTCACTTACACAAGAATCATAAATTCTATTACGAATAATTACAAGAATCCGAGCAAAAACAATGAAAAATGTAAAAAATAGCAAAAAGTACCCCACATTTCCAATCAAACTTTGTTTATAAGAATCTTTTCAATAGGGGACAATTGACCCTTAATGTAAAAAATATTGTTTACATTAAGGGTTGCGGGTTGTTCCCCTTAATGTAAAACAATTACCTTTAGAGTAAACACGTGGCTCTTTATGTGTTTCTTTTTACATGAAGAGTAATTCTTACATTAAGGGTTTTAACAGGGCCGTCCTTTTATCAATCGTAACTTCACTATACCAAACACCGAGGTTGTGTTACTGTTTCATGGCTCAAATGATAAACGTATCCTAGTATTCAACTTAAATAATAACGTTATGCTTCTAAAGATTAATTGATTGTTATAACAGTCTAAGTTTCCTACAGAGAACATTAAATATAAATATAAAATCCAATATGGCCGCCGCAGAAGCTTTGTTTTTTACCATTACCTTGCATTGAAACATAAAGCATCTGATAACTGATCAACCCTGCTCACGGAAACCAAACAAACAAAATTCTCTTGTACATCCAACTCGAACTATAAGCAACGTATCAGGTATTCATGAGTTCCATTATTTGCGGCTGAGTAGACCAAGATGGTTATGGATCTGGGACCAAATTGAAATAAGCCAGCATAACTAACAACGCAATGACCTTGGGTGAGTTCACGTTCCTCATTTAAGTCACGGACTTTTATATTCATCAAACTTGTCGGCGGCCATTATATACACTCTTCACAAAAAGAAACGCTCTGGTAGATTTTTAGTGAATGTATTGTACCTAATAAAGTCGATATATTAAATTTAATATCATAGATACCATTATGAAATTTTAGAGCTCGATAGTCACATGTTGTCGTTGAACAAAAAGGCATTGAAAACTGTTCACTGTCATATCACATAAAGCCACAAGGTTTCGCTGAACTCAGTATCTCGTGTGACCGCCCCGGGCAGCAATCACGGCTCTGCATCTCCTCGGCCAAGGCTGAATAAGTGTACGAATTCTTTCCTGCGGAATTCTGCGCCATTCTGTTTGTAACGCGTTGGTCAGTTGTGGGAGTGTCTGTGGTGTATTCTGACGTTGACGTACACGTCGATCGAATTCATCCTAAAGGTGTTCGATTGGGTTGAGATCTGGAGATTGGCATTGTGAAGGTAGTCTCGTGCGGTGGAGCGTTGTTCTGTTGAAACAGCTCCCTCTGGCGGTCAATGATTGGAAGAAGGTGAGGTTGAAGAATTTGATTCATGTAGCGATTTGCTTTCAAATTTCCCTGAACCTAGTGGTTGAAGCGTTCGCTCGTCACGCCGAAGACCTGGGTTCGATTCCCGACATGGGTAAAATGTGTGAAGCCCATTTCTTGTGTCCCCCGCCGTGATGTTGCTGGAATATTGCTAAAAGCGGCGTAAAACCATACTCACTCACTCACTTACTCAAACAAGGGATGCGCCCTGCAGTCTCCGTAGCTGTGACATTGTGATGACGGAGGTGGAACACTCGAATGTAGCGATCCTTTGCAGGGATGGTAACTCTTGGTCGGCCGGTTCTCGGGCGGTCTACAGTGGAATTGAACTGTGTGTATCGGACACAAAGGCAGCAGATGGTGTTGTGGTGGACGTTGAAGTGGCGTGCAACAGAAGACTGCGATTCCTCTCTTTGGATACGTCCTATAGCGATGTTCCGATCGGCAGCGCTGAGTCTCGGCATTTTCGAACTTGAAAAATGTTGACGATTGAATGACAAATTATTGGCTTATGCTTGCCTTCTTATAGCCACTACCACGAGTTACGAATGCCATAACTTGCACGTGCATTTTGCTTTACTGGTTTCCTCCATGATATTTTTGAACAAGTGTGAAAACAATGCCGTTTAAGACATTGCAAATCGACAATGGCTGCGTTTTGACGCACGGTTTGACGAATATCAGGCCATCAACATTTTCCAATAACATATATCCAATTTATATAGAGGTTCGGTCTTGACTGCCGTCGGACGTCTTTTGCTTCTCAGCATCTTGTCTTGTGTTATACAGCACACTTGACTGTTTATGGTACTTCCTCTTTGGTTCTTTTGGCTTTTGATTTATCTTGTGTTGGAGTGCATTCAAACTTTTAATTATTATTTGGTGTTTGCTGTTTGTTACAGTCAGTTGTTGGGGATTGTCCTCGGCAATGGCTGACAACAGAATGGAATGTGAGGACGGATTAAAGTCATGGCTTCAGGAAGGAAGCGAATCGGTCGTATTCCAGATGGTACTTCTAAAAAAGCCCGTGTTGCCAAGCAACCAAATACTGTCCCTCCTACTGCGTGGTCTGATCTTCCTTTTTGTATCTGATGAGCCAGTGCGGGTAAAACCAACCGCTGTTATCCTTAAAGCCGAAGTCGATGAATCTGATAATGGTTCAACGACCCTCTGTCAACTGATGACCCAGTGTGCTTTGGCTAGAGCATTGGCTAAGATCACTACAGAAGTAGTCAGTGTTAAGCGGATGGCCAGGGGAGATGTTCGTGTCACAGCTAAAACCGTTGAGGCTGCCCAAACTCTTTTGCAAGTCACAGAACTTGCACATTTTGTCACCACTCATGAGCCTGAATCATTAATGAGAACCCGTGGAGTTATCTCTGGTCTTGATCTGGATACTGAGATGAGTGAAATTGAGGACGAGTTAAAACCTGTGTTACCTCTAATGTGCTCTGCTGTGCGTCTGACTCGTGGACCTGAAAAAGTTCCCACGAAATCTGTTCTGCTTACATTTACTGGTCAGTCTTTACCGGATCATGTTGTCATTTTCATCCAGAGATTTCCAATCCGGATGTATGTTCCTCCTGCTCTGCGATGCTTCAAGTGTCAGTCCTTTGGGCATGTTTCTGCCAAGTGCAGGAGCGCTCATCATGTGTGCGCTAAGTGTGGAGGGAAGCACAAATATGAGGAGTGCAAAGAAAGTTCTCTTAAATGTTAGAACTGTGGTGGTGTTCACTCTGCGGCATACAAAGGTTGTCTTAAATACCAGGAAGTTGTCCAGATCCAGAAAGTCAGAGTTGGGGTAAACTGTCTTATTCTCAGGCGGTTCGAAAGGTGCGTGGAGATTTAGCTATAGCTCATGATCAGGTTCCAAAAGTCAATAAACCACCTCCTGCAGCTAAATCACTGTCTCCGGTTGTTTCAATTTCTGATATTGTATCTCCTCCAGTCATGGTGACTGCTAGTACACAGACTGAAACTCTGGAAGTTGAATGTCAGACTGATCCTGTTATTGACACAATTTCTGCATCCTCATGCCAACCTCAATTCAACAATGTCTCTCCTGTTGATTTTCTCAACTTTGTTATTTGTATAGTTGCCAATCTTGGAACTACTCGTGCATTAAAGTCTGATGGTCTCTAGACGATAAGCATCAGCTGCCAAGTCCCTCTTGGGGTGAAAATTGTCCCCTGATGTTCTGGCGAGCATGGTTAAGGGGCAACAATGGAAGTCTTAATCCATCCTTCTTCGGCCTCTCTTGATGCTAGAACAATAAATGCTTATGGTCCAGATTTTAAGGTTTTTAATAACAGTCTTGACCCAATGTCAGATGTTATGTCTTTAGGAGACGTTCTTGAATCCTAACCAGCAATGAGAAGGTTATGGCTGCCTAAGCAAGCATCGTCAGTTTGGTTTTAGAGGTAGTAGTGCTAAACTCACTCACTAACTGTGATTAAGTGAAATAAGGTTCCACCATCCCAATTAGATGGGAATGAAGTCAATATACATTTGAAG